TCACTGTGGCCCTGCTCTCTATGCCCGCCTCCCTCCCTCCCTGACACCCCACCCCCTTTCCAGAACCAAACCAAGCCCTCTAGCTGCCTCCTCCTCTCCCCGGTGGAGCCCAAACAGTCTATTTCTCTGTGATGCTTAGCAATGACTTGTTTCTTCAGGCTATATCATCACTCAGAGATGAAGTCTGTTCCACCCCAAATGGTTTCCAAGTGATGACAGGCAACTAAAATTATAGAACAGTGCCATCAGAACTGTTAGCATTTAGAGATACCAACAGTTTTATGCTTCTCGTTGCATTTTAAAAGCAAGCCACCCCATGCTCATAGCAGCATTATTCACAGTAGCCACAAGAAGGCAGCAACGCAAGGAGCCATCGAGGGATAAATAAACAAAATATGGCCTGTGCCCACAAGGTAATACGACTCAGCCTGACAAAGGAAAGACCTTCTGCACATGCACACGGATGCATCTGGAGGACACCATTGCATGAGGGACCTAGAGGTCATCGCACTCCTAGGGACAGAAGGCAGGAGGGGCTGCCAGGGCTGGGAGGGGGGAGGGGGAGTCAGTGTGCGATGGTAGGAGGATCCGTTTGGAAAGGTGAGAACATTCTGGAGGCAGTCACTGCAGGCGACCTCTCCCCGCCAGAGCAGAGCAGACTGCAAGCATCCAGCAGGCGTGTGAGCTGCAGGCAGGAGGCATCAGCCCGACAGCAGGAACCTTTTTCAGCAGGAACCGGGCGGGGCGGGGCGGGGCTGTGTGTGCAACAGGGGACCGGACCGTGGGTCTTCAAGGAAAGGCAGGCCCAGCTGGTTCACGAGATGACCTTTGACCCCTGCCTTCCCAGCTGCTCCCACACGCTTTTGCTTTTAAGGTTTCAAAGGTCAGACCGGAACTGGGAGGGGGTTGGGGGGGGGACCTTGGCTGCAGGGACTGTGGCCTCAGCTGGGCAGCTTCCCTGGTTTCTGGCGCAGGGAGCCGCCGGTGTGTGATACCAGCCACTGAGGTGAGAAACACTACAGGTCCTGAGGAGGAATCCGTGCGGCAAAATGACGACATGTTTAGAGAGAGGACGCTTAAATACCCATGAGCCAACACGGTGGGGCCTCGGGGAGGCAGTTCTTATCAGGGCCGACTCTGAAAGAGAAGCTAAGATAAAGGTGCAGTGTCCTACCCGGCCAGTGTGGCTCAGTGGTTGAGCATCAACCTGGGAACCAAGAGGTCCCAGTTCAATTCTGGGTCAGGGCACAGGCCCGGGTTGTGGGCTTGATCCCCAGTGCGGGCCGTGCGGGAGGCAGCCGGTCCCTGATTCTTTCTCACCACTGATGTTTCTCTCTCTCTCTCCCTTCCTCTCTGAATAAAAAAAAGAAAGGCTGCTGTGTCCAAGGGACCCTCAGCTCCCCCTCCCCTCCCCCAGTGAAACCAACCTCCAGGAGGCGGGGAGAGCAGCAGCAGAAGAACAAGGAAGACGCTGCAGACGAAGGACTGACCCCTCTCACTAGTGCGAGAAGCGAGAAGCGGGGCTGCGCTGGGAAGGAGCAGGGAGTGCTGGGAGGGCGCGGGGTGCAGGCAGACACAGGAGCTGCCAGTGGGAAGGGAAGGAGGCTGCTGATGGGAGCTGACACCTGAGGGGAGGCCAGGGTAGAGGCAGGGCCAGCCTCAGGCAGGGAGAGACCTTTCTTCTGAGAAGAGGAAAAGGGGAAGGATAGTGGGGGGCAGGTCCCTGGTTGAGAGGGAGTGTCTTCAGTTGGGCACCTGTCCCTCCCCGTCACCCACGGAAAGGCGGGTCAAGGGCTTGCAGAGTTAGTGAAGGTTAGAGCTGCTGATGGAGCAGGTCAGGGAGGAGGTGGGGGGACCCTGCCGAACAAGGGGTGACCGGGTCACCAGTGAACACAGTGAGGGGTTAGCAGAGCACAGGACGTAAGATGACATGGACTTCACATGACAAATGTTTGGTGCCCGGGCTGGGGGATGGAGCAGCAGCCTCGGTGACAGGTTGGCCTAGGAGGGAAGGAAGGTGTGGGCAGGAGAGCAGGTGACTGAGGAGGCAGGTAGAATAAGAGGGCAAGGGAGGGGCAAAGACTGCAGAGTTAGTGGCGCGTACTATTTGTGTTTGATCATATAGAGTCCATTAGTCAGAGGCTGGTAAGTAAGCCTGGCTTTAGGACTAGGGGTGCTCATTTAACAAATGTTTACTTCACTGCCAAATGCCAGGCATTGGAATGTTTGCTGCCACGGATTCGATCACCTGATACACCTGTCAGCACAGGAACGTGTCAGTCCCGGGGCCCCAGGCCATGTCTGGGCTCAGCACAGTCCCCACAGGGGCGCCCGTCTTTTCCATCTGTCACCTCCATGGCTGACCACTGCCATCTGATCATCACGTTCTCTCTCCAGGTACCAGCTCCGGAAGCCCAGCCCGTGCAGCTCTCTGCCTGGGCCGAGAACTGACCAGGTGCACCATTTCCTGAAAGGACGCCGTGTGCCCTCTAAGGCGGACATGCTGTCTGTGAGCGAGGCCTTCCTTCCAGTCGCATTGATGTGGTGACGATGGGAAAGGCTGTGACTCCCACCACAGGAAAGGGATCCCCTAAGTCTTCAAGTTTCCTATGCACCTGGCTCTGGACCCCATTCTGCACCTGAGAGGGAAGTCCATCACCCCTCACACGGAATCACACAGGGCTCCTGGGTCCCCTGAAGCTGTTGGGAACCACACACACACACACACACACACACACACACACACACACGCCGCGGGCTCTCAGAGAGCGGATGATCTGGTCTTCAGGAAAGATGGGCTTTGTCCCAGCCGGGAGTTGCCTGCGCTGAAGAGCAGACCCGCACACTCCTGGCCGCCGCGCGGAGAGGGGCCTGCAGCTGGGGAGGGTCCTGCACTTGCCAGCCTGAACGATGGGCAGAGAACAGGCCTAACACTGAGGACACTGCAGGTCATGCTGTTTCTAATTGTAACAAAGAGAGATGCCTTGTTTGTAAGTCCCAGTGTCTTTCCTGCGTGATTAAAAATTCATTGGCAAACAATAAACTTCCCTCTAAAGTATATTCTCATTCATAATTCATTAGCATTTTATGACTATTGCTTTTTAAGACTTCCTAAGTGCCCAGAGCACAGCGTAGGAGAGAAGAAGTAAGAGACAAGCTCCCTAAGTCTGTCACCGAGAGGTCACCGCTGGGAGTGCAGGGCGGCACCTGGCGTGTCCTCAGGAGTCATGCCCATCACTCCCCGGGATGGGTCTGCACTGGCCGGATCTCTCTCCCTTTGCTTGGCAGCCTTGAGGGAATTACAAGGAAGAAAGCGTGTGGCCAGGGTGCTGACCTGACTGGCCTGTTATGCTGGAGCCACCATCCCCTAAGCCCGGTGACTTCATCCAGCCTCCACAGCAGCCTGCATGTCCCTTCGCTTTAGTCCACACTCACGGTTCCAGAGAAACAACAGTCCAGTCTTCTTCAAACAGCAGGGCACAGCCCACGCCAGGCCGGGCGGGCAGAGCGCGCAGTGAGCATGGGCCTTGCACAGACACCTGTGCTGGCTGACTCTACGGAAAGGGTGCTGTCCGGCCGGCGTGGCCCAGGGGCTGAGCCCGACCTATGATTCCGGATCAGGGCACATGCCCGGGCTGTGGGCTCGATCCCCAGTTGGGGGTGTGCAGGAGACAGCGATTGATGTTCTCTCTCACCGATGTTTCTATCTCTCTCTCCCTCTCCTTTCTGAAATCAATAAAAACATTAAAAAGAAAAAAAGGGAAGGGGCCCAAGGGTTATGTTGGTGATGTGATCAATTACGGAAGAGGTAGAACCCTTATCACAGTGAGAAGTAAAGTTCACATGTGCCGGCATGAAATTGTCTTTCCAGGAGCTCAAATCAAAGGCCCTTGGAAATACCATTAACTTATCCTGACTTTTCTGTGAAGCTGTGGCTTAAGTCCCCAGGGCCCTAAATAATGCCACCAAGTCCCCTTCTAATCACCCCACCCCCACCCCCACCCAGGAGCTGTCTCGCCTCCTGGCACACAGGCGTCGGCGGCTGTGGGCCAGGCGCGGAGCAGGGGCCGTGCCGTGAGCTAAGCTGCTGAGATGAACTTTGGGACGCTGGGTTTTCTTGCTTCATATCCACTAAACCAGCCTCAACTGAACCTGCCCTGGATGCCTGTAGGGTAAACAGTAACCTGAGCTACGTGAAGAGGTCAGTTTAAAAGACCAGACTCAGGAGACCAGGATACAGACCAGGATACGGGAGGATCAGCGGTGGTGGCACTGTGGGAGGCGGACGGGAGGTGGGCTCTGGGTGGGCAGGCGGGGCTGCAGAGGACTGGAGGGGCGGGAGGGGCAGCAGGCAGGGGCAGGTGAGGGAGAGGCATGTGTGATAAGATGATGCTCGAGGGCCTGGCTGGATGACTGGGCAGATGACAGGCCCACCCACCAGGACAGAAAGAGAAAAGGGGTGTCACTTTGTCTCTTAGGTGAATGAGCACATGGGAGACAGAGGGTGGCTTAGAGGAGACAGGTATTGCCTCGCAGCTCTAGGGGCTGGAGCCCAAGTCAAGGTGCTGGCCGGCCATGCCCTCTCTGGAGCCCCAGGAAAGATCCTTCCCCGCCCACGAGCTTCTAGTGGCTGCCAGCCACCGGGGCGACCCCGGCTTGGGGCTTGGAGATGCGTCCTCCAGTCTCAGGCTCTGAATTCACATCACATTCTCCATGCAAGTGCCTGGGACAAACGCCTCTGGTTTATAAGGACACCAGTCACTGAGTTAGGGCCACACCCAACGGGACCTCCTCTCAACCTGCCAAGCCCCTATTTCCACACAAGGCCCAGTCACAGGACCTGGGGTCAGAATCTGAGCATGTCTTTTGGGGAACATAGTCCAACCCGCAAAAGCCTCTAAACACACACACACACACACACACACTCCCGATAATTCTCAAAAATCACGTGGTAGCCGAGACCGGTTTGGCTCAGTGGATAGAGCGTCGGCCTGTGGACTGAGGGGTCCCAGGTTCGGTTCTGGTCAAGGGCATGTGCCTGGGTTGCGGGCGCATCCCCAGTAGGAGATGTGGAGGAGGCAGCTGATCGATGTCTCTCTCATCGATGTTTCTATCTCTCTATCTCTCTCCCTTCCTCTCTGTAAAAAATCAATAAAATATATTTTAAAAAAATAAAAATAAAAAAAATCACGTGGTAAACACTATAATACTTTCAAAACAATGCACAAAATAAAAATAAAGAGTACATTGTAATAATAATGTACCAACAATTTGTGTTGTTTCATAAAGTATTTTCGCTGTAGAAAAATTCCAATGTATAGAGATTTGTCCTAGATTTTTCCTATCAAATTTCCTCAGCCCTTAAAATATTATTTCGTAGCATTTTCTGAACTATTTATACTTTAAAAAATATTTTTAATTGATTTTAGAGAGAGAAGAAGGGAGAGGGAGAGAAACATCGATGTGAGAGAGAATCATGATCGGCTGCCTCCTGCACGCCCCCTACTGGGGATTGAGCCCACAACCCAGGCAAGTGCCCTGACTGGGAATCAAACCAGCAACCTTTTGGTGCAGGCGAGGAGGCCCAACCAACTAAGCCACACCTGCCAGGGCTGCACTACTCATACTTTTTAGCTCCTTTCTGAACATGATGGCTTGGTACTACCTCTTTGATTTGTTAGTCTATCTCACAACTCTTGGTATCAGAAACGACTTTATTCATTTATTTTTAAATATATTTTTATTGCTTTCAGAGAGGAAGGGAGAGAGATAAATATCGACGATGAGAGATAATTACTGATTGACTGCCTCCTGCACACCCACTGCTGGGGATCAAGCCTAAAACCCGGGCATGTGCCCTGACTGGGAATCGAACCCAGGACCCTGCAGTCCACAGACCCACGCGCTGAGCCAAACCACCTCAGGCCAGAAAGGACTTTAAAGTCAATCTGTGACCCCCCCCAAGGCTCAGCTGGTGGGAGCTCCTCGCAGGCGGAACCCACACTAACTGGCCAGGGCTTTAAGAATGTGGTAAGTCAAACAACATTTGGGAAACATTGTCAGTTTAGGACATTCAGACAGAAGGTTTCCATCTGAAACCTAGGCAGTTAAGATTGCCAATCTGTATCACACTATTATATAAAGTATATGTTTTCCATGTGGTTAGTGGCTTCAAAGCACCAAAATGTTGAACACCACTCAGCCGATGGGAGGTGAAATACGGCCTTAACGTGGGAAAAAGCAGGGAGATATGGCTGATTAACAGTACACTGTAGCGGTGGCTCTTTATTTGCCATTTTATCCCGGTGAGGTGCACAGAGCCCTCTTTCCAGAAGAGAGAAGTGGAAAGGTTAGGCAAATATTGTTTTTACCAGCTACTGAAGAGACGAGTTCCGGCCCTGACTGTTTTCCTTTGGGGGAAGAATGCCGTGCACACAAGGTCAATAGGGAAGGTGACGGCGTTAGGACTCGGTTCGGGGTGATTTTTACCTTCAGGCTGACACTGCCAACTGCCAGACTGCTCTTTCTGAAACGAACTTTCTAGTGGCTTCCTCTATTACAGGAAAAGGTTAAATTCCGTTGGTAACAAGTAAAAGTCTACTCGGGAGGTACCACAAAATAAGAACCCTGATAATCAAAGCCTTGTGATCAGAACGTCACCAGTTACTGTGCGGCTCGAAAGTTCAAGGAACCATGAAGGCAACTAGGGATGCGCCAGCCACGCTACACTGCATCACGGTTCCGGCTCCGGCTCACAGGAGGCAACAGAAACAGAAGGGCCCCATTTCCTGCGCTCCTCCCTCCACCCCCACTCGGGGTCCACGCCTCCTCCTGAGCCTCCTCTAGGCTCAAGAAAAAAGGGGCGGTGGGGTCAGGGGCACTTGAAAACAAAGAGAAGCAAGAGTGTATGTAACCCCAAACTGCTGGAGAAACGGGTCTGCTTCAGGAGAAGGGACTGGGATGCCCTAGCACAGTGGTTCTCAACCTGTGGGTCGCGACCCCTCTGGGGGTGGAACGACCCTTTCACAGGGATCGCCCAAGGCCATCGGATAACATATATAACTACATATTGTCTTCTGATGAATCACTATGCTTTAATTATGTTCAATATTTTAAAATATACTTTATTGATTTTTTACAGAGAGGAAGAGAGGGATAGAGAGTTAGAAACATCGATGAGAGAGAATCATCGATCAGCTGCCTCCTGCACACCTACTGGGGATGTGCCCGCAACCAAGGTACATGCCCTTGATTGGAATCGAACCTGGGACCCTTCAGTCCGCCGCTCTATCCACTGAGCCAAACCGGCTAGGGTTGTGTTCAGTTTGTAACAATGAAAATAGTACATCCTGCATATCAGATATTTACATGACGATTCATAACAGTAGCAACATCACAGTGATGAAGTAGCCACGAAAATAATTTGATGGTTGGGGGTCACCACAACATGAGGAACTGTATTACAGGGTCGCAGCATGAGGAAGGTTGAGAACCACTGCCCTAGTCTAGGAGAACCCGGGACCACGTGGGTGCAATGTTCTAAGCCTCTGCACCTGTGACAACACCGGGTCCTTAGGAGGCAGCAACTTCCCCAGGATCTCCGAAGCCTTCTGGGGAGCAGACCCCTGACCCCCCGGGTCACCAGGCATGCGCCCATCACAGGAGCAAATGCACTGTGACCTTTTGGGGTCCCCTCTGCCTTACCCTTGCCCTTCTCCCCAGGGCTGTGGGGCCTCAACCATGCTCCCCTTGGGGGACCTCCTCTCTCAGGGCCTGGGCATGTGCAGTTCTGCTGAGCTGGCTGGGGCGCCTCTCCCGGGGTGGGGGGCCCCCAGGCTGGGTTAGGATTCTCTGTTAGGGTTCAGCATCTTTGTAAGGCACATTTCACAGACCACATTCCTTCCCAAGTCCTGCCAGGGCTTGAGCCATTCATTAGAGTCATAATTGGATTAACACTGTGTCCCCCCCATACCTCCCCCGCTCCCCCCACTAAACAGGGGGCGCCACCAGCCTGAGTGTGCCCTCCAGCATGCGGGCTCCCGGATTCCCTTGCACACC